TAGTAATCAGCGCAGGTTGTGTTGGAACCTACCAGGTACCCACTTGTACTCCTGGGTGGAGAGAGGCAACCGTAGATAAAGTGCCTTGCCCAAGGACACAAGCGATTTGCACAGCCAGAGTTTTGAACCCCCGACCTCAAGGTTGGGAGTCCAAGCCACAACCGGTGCGTCAACTGCTCCAACGCAAAAACACAAGCAGCAGCATAACAACAACCACCATAATAAAAATAAATAATCACAATAATTATTTCATCACATTTTCACATCACTAAATAGTGACTAACATGTGATTTATGAATAGAGAGATAGAGTGTTTCTTGTATCTTGCAAACAATGTTAAAAATAGACTTCCGGTGGAAGCAAGTGTGTAACTGCTTGACATAGTTTTCTTTAGCTTACTATGATGCAATAATATACCCATAATTCCTCTCTTTGAACTTTGAACTCTCAAACCGGATTTACCCTCACAACTACAGCCCCCATGGGGGCAGTAGACACAAAAACTCTGCATCACAACAAGCCAATTTGTAGTTTCAACTGTGCATGTCCGCATATCCAAAGTCAATCGACATAAACCTATGCTGTGTGTATGTATTTTTTTATGTTGATTGACTTTGATATGGGCATGTGCACTTCAAACTACGAATTGGCTTATTAAAATGATATAGCCTTGCTACATTCTTACCTGTAACTGCTCCCTTGTATGAACTACGTATATTTACACCCTGCCCATACCTGTGTATTATAAGAAGAGTAATAGAAAAGCAATCATTAGTAGGATGTATGGTTTGAAGGTTTGACCTTTCTATGATGGACGGTTTTGAATTTGAAACTTGCCACTCGCCATTGGGCAAGTGGAAACTGAACTGATGAGGAATATGTGTAGATTAAAGTAGAATTGTCAGCAGACATAATTTAACAAAATGAATAAATCAATTGAATTTCAATTAATTATATTATCATTTAAAAATAAATAATCCCATTGATAATTTATTAATATACTATAACTATAAGTTTCTATTTCAACATGTAAATTATTTCATGATTTGTAATCTTACATATTAGACAATCTTTTGGTTTAAGTAGTGTTGGGAACATTTCACATACGAGGCTTCCAGCCCAAAACCAGCGTACTCTGTCACTAATTGTTAAACTGAGTAATAAGCATAAGAATGTGGCAGTATTGTATACTTAAGTACGGAGAAGCTGTAATACTTTTACTCACAACTTTGGCAATAGTAAGTCATTTACAGTAAATGACCCATCATTTTGAAGCTTGCAATGTGGAGATTAAGAATATAGTCCAGAAAAGGTAAAGAAAGAAATTACAGGGAAGTAAAGGAAAAGAGATAGGTCGTAAGTATGAAAGAAAATAAAGGAAAAGGGGAAAAAAGACATGGAAAAAAAGAGTAAAAGGTAGTACGACTAAGAAAATAAATATTTAACAATTATTTTTTTTTAAAGTAAATAAAATTCTGTATTTTCAAAATATATTTATTAACATTATATATTTATTTTTATTGTTGTTATTCATTATTGTTTTTCATTATTTTTTTAGGTGAAATTTTTAGTAATTTTTCCCACTCCATGCTGTACATAGGTATTTTACATTATGCGCTATATGAATTGACAATTATTATAATAATATTATTATTATTATTATTATTATTATTATTATTATTATTATTATAATTATATTATATTTTGGTCACAGATGCTAATTTTGGGATTAACCCCATACACACATTGACACAGTCATTACTAAGAAAAGCACAGTGATGAAATCAGACTCTTACTGGTATGACGCTGGTATCCCAGATTTGATATCTCCTATGGTAACCTGGACATCATCCTCATCACTGTCATCATCACTGTCCTCAATGTACCCTTCCTCTTGTTCCTCTTCGGTAGCTACTCCAGGTGGGCCTACATCTTCCTATCAAAGTTCAAATGTATACATTAAAAAGGATACAATAAGAATATAGTCTTATTTTTTTATTTTTTTTCATTGAACCATATTTATAGAGGGTGACTCTCCTATCATATCCTAGAAGGTCGGCTGATATTCAGGAGCCCTCTTAAATAAATTAAAAAAACATGATGCTTTTTATCAGCGAAGTCTCTTACTGAGGCTTAAGAAGTGGAGTTGTTTTTAGTCGTGAGAAAAAGTCCAGCGGTCACAAGAATTGAACCCAGAACCCTGGGATTAGACGGCAAGCATCTTAACCACTCGGCTATTCAACTCCACTCCAAATGGAGTGGAATGCCTAATTGTTATAACCTCAATTTATATACACAGTATTCACTTTTTTAGACTTAGAGAAGAGCCTGTATAAACTTTATATTCTCCAAAATGGTCTAGTCCAGTAAAATAAATAAAATATAATGGACCATTCCGCTAAGCCCCGCCCCTTGGATATTGTTGCTAAGGAACCAAAAACAATAAAATATACTATATGTACGTAAACATGTGCGTTTGTTGGATATGTGTGCATATATCTGACACTATTTTGATTGTTCAGTTGTTCAGTTTTGATCGATAATTCAATAAGGTTCATTATGATGATGAGGATAACGATGACCATCATGATTGATAATAAGGTTGATTTAAGCTGGGTACTTCACTTACTGCGGTCACACTTGGCTTCCTCTTTTGATCTGCCTTAACATCTGTCACATCATTTGAGGTTGATAGTTGACTCACAAAGGCCACAGCAGTTGCTGATAACGCACTATCCCGCCTCTCACTCTCACTGTTAAAAGTAAATAACAAGCTTGTTACAAAATCATGGGCATGCTATAAATTACCACACCTCAGTAGGTCATTCATTTCATTTATATTATTACTACTACTACTTATAATAATGCTGTTTTGACTATTGTTTATTGTCTTGTTGGCTGTCTCTTATACACATCAAAGTACTCTTTTATAAAAAGACAATAATTATTAATAATTTTGTTTTGAAATTACAAAAAAGAGGTCTTTCTTAAATACTGTATAATGAATAAAATGAACGTTATACCATTCAATATTTCATCTCAAAATTGGTTATTGTGTTGTACGTATCATTTATCCAGTACAATACATCAATACTTTACAACATTGTACAATAGAATATTAATAGGACAGTAAACAGACCTTTAGCAGACACGAATTATTAGTGGAGCCATCACCGTTTGAAAGCAGTAGATGCTGATTATAAAAAGATCATCACAATGTACAGTACAATTATCATTATATTCTAATTCTTACAACTATAGGTGCATTGTTGTTAATGTGTTGAATAATTCAAGATAAAGCCTAACTCTCTATGACCCATGGTTGCTAAGATATGAAAGGACCCAGGGTCAAAGGTTATAATGATGGTTCAAGTCATATTTGGTGGTGTAATACATATGTTAGTAGTACTTAAACAATTAAATATATGCATCTCTGTTCTTATGTTACTCTTCATCAATATGTACAGAATAAATTGTTAAATTACAAAGTGCAACGACCTTCTGTCCCTAGCGAAACAGTGATTCCAGGAAGATTCAGAAGTGGATGTATAGGAAACGAAAATACATTGTTCATTGTTTGGTAATTTTAAAAATTAGAACGAGGAATGAGACCCCATTTTTCATATTTGGCCTTTGGGTGGCTGATCACTAAAACGTGCCTCAGCCTTAAATTTTCAGTACTTTTCTAAATGCTAGAGTCCTCTGGATAAATACATACTAAGTTTAAATCTACAGTGCAATTAGAATTAATGTTGAGTGCTAAAAGTTAAGTCTGTATTATTAATGGGAATAAATGTTATACCTCTCCTCTTCTGCTGGCTGCTCTCTATATAAAGTTGACAAAGGCAAAAAAACAAACAAATGCAAAATAAGATAGCAAAAACAAACAAAACACACTTATCTTAAATTATAAGATAACAGTGTTATACAAAATGTCTAATCATTCAACTTTTTGAAATATGAGAGAAAGCCCTTTGTCAGGCAACAGAGAATTAGGTGTACAGGCCAAAGCGGAATACAAAAATTAATAATACATTATTATTGCTATTCCACTAACTCTGAAAGAGTGCTCGTAATTAATAAATTTGAAAAACAAAAGTTAAAAACACCATAAAAGAATTTTGAAAGGGCACATAGAAAAAATTATTAGATTTCACCCTTTTTTTTTTTTTTTTAATTGATGAGGGCGGTTTTTTTTTTTTGTTTTTTTTTTGGGCGGTTTTTTTTTTTTTTTTTATGGGTACAATAAATTATTTCACTTTTGTTTTTATCGATGAGGGAGGGACTGTTTATATTTGGCCTGTACCCGGGCCTGTAATAGTAAATATTGTATAAAAATTGGTTTAATTTTATAGTTTTTTAAAGAAAATGTATTGAAGTCACAAAATTGCATTGTTATTTTATGCTGTTGAAATAATGGATGCGGCAGAAAAAATTTTTTTTTTATCCCCGCATCAATATTTCCCCAAATTTTTGACACGGGTGGGAGTGATAATATAATAAATTTTTCTATTTGCCCTAAATAATTTTTTTTAACTTAGGGCTTGAGATTTCTAAGCATAAATTTAGCGCAGAGGATATATTCCCCACACAAACACTATTTTACAGTCTGGCATGTGACAGCAACGTACATATATCTTTCCACCCAACCAAAGCATGTTAAAACTACAATCAGGGTACTTACTCTTTATTTTCTTTTGGAGCATCTTCTTCTTTCTTGTCTTCTGTGTCTGGAAAATGTAAATACAGACACTGTTTTTAAAATTGTATTTCGACAACATTCCTCTTTTGACTAACTAATCTAAATTCTAAACTTCTTTCGAGTTATATCTATCTATTAGACACTAATATTTGCCATGAGATGAGTCTGTGGTACAATAGAAGAAAAATCTTCACTGTAATTCAATGATTTCAGCAATCCGCAAAGAGATGATTACTTCCTCAATCTCAAAAAGAAATCTGACTGCATCATTCGTTGGGGATGATCTGCGGGAACAATCCGACGCAACAGAAAAGAAGAGCCTAGGATTGGCGGCTCGTTAATAAAAGACATTTAGAGATTACGTATATGACTTATATACACACAATTTACAAAATCTTATGCACAAAATATTTCTAATTTATTTGCAAAACAAGACCATTGTTTTTAAAGTTATTTTACAATAATATAATAGAATAATTACCTCCATACAACCACGAGTCTTCGTCGTCAGCCATGTTTGTTGTGTTGGGGTCAAAGTTGAAGATAAAAACTCGTGGTGTTTGTTGATGTGTTGACTGATGGAAGGCTTTCACGCAGAAAGGTAAATTGAACTGTTTAATTGATTGTAATTGATTAAAAGTCATTGATATTTTGATACAGAAAGATTAAAATGTCTAATTTGATCAGACAAGAGAGGTGCTATCAGACCATCTTTATGATCAGACAGAGTAACACATCAATGTTCCAAGTCAGGTAGGTGGTAGGAGGAGAGGAGCGGGAGCTGCTCCGCTCGCTCCTCCCCCTAATCCTTCCTTCCATCCATCTATCCATGGGCCTAAATAAAGAGGTGGTGGTGGTTGCGTTGCTTCGTTGGCCTAGTATGGTTCATTCTGACCTTAAAAGCTTTATAAATTATGCTCGTCATTTAAATTAGCATTAAAGAATGTAGTGTTTTTTGGGGTTTTTTTGTAAATTAGATAAGCCGGGACTGTTTGGTGCTGGTGAATATAGTGGTAATAGGGGATTGGCTCCCAAAAAACAAAGCCATGCAATCATTCATAAAACCCTGACCTTTTTCAATATTTTTGGAAAAAGTAACCTGATAACCATGTTTAGATAAAGTATTCTGTGTCTTTTGATTTGAAAAATCAAGCATGTTTTTTCCAAATGCAAACAGTTGATCGAAACAGGCAGAATCATGTTTTTAATGGGAACGACACATTTTTGTTTCAAATTGATGATTAGAAAAAAAAAACAACAACAATGGAACTTCCTTTTTTTTGTTTAGAATAGTTGAGATCAAAGATTGCATACTGGATATGGAAAACTCCAAATCAATTTAGGATTGAAAAATCAAATGAGCTTCACTGGATTGATTAGTAAATTTTATAAATATTTTTATATATCAAAATATGTTATTATTATTATTATTATTATTATTATTATTATTATTATTATTATTATTATTATTATTACTATTATTATTATTACTATTATTATTATTATCTATATATTAATTCTACTAATCGCCCCAGTGTAAGTTCACCTATTTCCTCTGGAACCGCTGGAAGGAATGTGCTCATATCTCATGCACTGGGGTTTCTATATGTAATAACCATATTCCGCTACTTTTCAAGGCTTGATATTGGATAACAACGCAAAAAACAGCCAAAAACTACCGAAAATCTGCACCTGTTTCGCCATGTTTCGCGAGTCGCTTACGTCACATACATAAATCCCCTATGTTAATCTGTACCACAGTGCTCAGATTTTAAAAATATCGCATCAGGCCGTAAACAAAACAGTCTGTCTTGCAGCTTCATTACCGTACATACGGTACCTCACGGTCACGTCAACAAATATGAGCAGCATCCCACACACCACAGAGTACCCGTTGTATACTGAATATGTAGTCTATATGCCTCAAATACATCAGCAATGAATGGCATGCTTTACAAATTGATCAGGGCACAAGTCATGATATTAAAAGCTAGGCCGAAAACCGGGCCTAAATTTCCGCTAGGGCTAGCCTAGCCCTTTGCTTCTACCAGAAGGGCCTAGTCTTCTACTAATAAATAGCAGAAGATGGATGTGGTACTCACTTATCTATTTTAAAGCTGTTGTTCCCCACCCCCCCTTCCCACGTTTGAAAAATTCTGGATCTGCCCTTCATCAAATTGGACAATAATTCCTCAGAAGAACTCATCTACAAAGACATTATCTGCTGTACAAAGGCGTCATTTAGAAAAATAATGACATGCTAACGACTTCCCATAGTATTAAACAATATACATCGCCACCTTTCCCCACTCATCCAACACCGTGCAAAGCACAGATAGATGCTAGTTATTATTATCATTGTTGTTATTATTATTACTACTACTACTTATAATAATGCTGTTTTGACTATTGTTTATTGTCTTGTTGGTGTATAATTATCTAGGCCTCATTTTGTATATTATATATATTTTATTGAAATTTTAAAGAGGGCCCCTGAACAAAAACTGGCCTTCAGGTTCAGCTGGAAGGGCTACCCTCTATAAAAAAAAAAGTTGAAATTAGAAAAAAGTAAGTCACTTCAGTGATCAAATGAAAGGGGAACAAATTTGAGGACTTTCAGGAAATTTTGCATGAAGATGATTTTAAATTAATATTTTATCTCTTTTTTTTCATCAGGAATCTTATTTGAAGAGCAATGCTATCATGGCAGTTGCGTTGATTATTTCATCATTTGTGATGCGGGCATGGCCACCAAAAACTGTCTCTTATACACATCTAGATGTGTATAAGAGACAGAGTAAATATTGTATAAAAATTGGTTTAATTTT